TTAAGGTAGCAGAAAAATTAATGCAATATATGTATAAGCAGAATTAAACAAGGTAACTGTAAATGTTGCTGAAGCTGATCCATCCTCCATAGTTTTGATGGAATGTTAAAAAAAACTATTAGGAACATGACATGGAGCTACAGCATTTAAAAATTAAAAAAAAGAAAAAACTTGGACACATCCCTTTTAATTCCCCGAATTTTTAATAAAGCACTTTTTAAACATAGCATTATAATCTAGAGCAATTAGATTAATTATAGGAATCTAGAATTGTATTTCTATTTAATTTTATTGACTATGAAAATACATAATAAGCGTTCACGTTTCACGTGTTGTGCGAAATATTAAAATAATAATATAAATAATATACCGCGTACTATGATTGAAAAAAACAGCGTCAGCGATAGCTATGAAATGAAGATCGTTGTCATTTTACATGGGAAATGTCCTCAATCGTTATTTCCCAGCCAACTGGACGCCGTTTTTTCGATCATACAGTATATATTGACAAAAAACACTGAAAAGCACATATTTGTTTTCTACTGAAAATAATTCCAAAATAACTTGCAATCTGGCAACATCGAAGATGTGCGCATGCGTAGTGTCTGTGACTATATGCAGCAAAAACTCGTTTCAAGGTCAGCCACCGGATCCACACCATACGAATCTTGTCCCTAATTCGTGGTACGAAAATTGTTTTTTATGACGATGTGCAAACGAGTCAAATTTCCTGTGCGCAAAAATAAACTCGCGAAAATAACAATAAACAGTGTAATAGAGAGATATCGCTAAACCGAATAGCGTGCATGGACGTTAATAAGGCCAGGTGTTAATTCCTTTACGTGAGATGGTATTAACTCTCTTCATTTATAGTTATCGGATCGGAAAGAATTCTGATCCGCGCTATTTAAACTAATCCTAACTTTGAATTTAAAACTTTGAAATTGTTTTGTTTACTAGGTATTTTAAAACTAAAGGGCTAAAGTGCTTATTTCTAGTGCTTTATTGTACAACGTCTGCCAATGGGTTTAGGGCAACAAGCAACAAATTCTTTTAGAAGGGTTAAGTCGTTATCTGCTGTAAACCTAAGACTCTTTATAGGTTCTTTAGTATTGGAAGAGGTGGAATCCATATTTTGGGCCATATTTATTTAATTAAAACTAATCCCAGCTACTTAAATATCAAATTACCTAATAAAACTAAAGCAATAATTCAAAACAATTCAAACATAACCTAAAATAAAAGATCTCGCCGACCGGCTCCGGTTGTCAAATACCCGCAGATGTCCATTTAAGCAATTTTTAAACGTTATCAGAGGTTATTTAGAAAGAGCGCTTGGTGTAATTGATCCGCAAATTACGTCAGGTGGTAACGTTATTAGCGGGTGTTGCGTTAAAAATTGACCCGCGCATATCGTAACCCGTGTCGTAACCATGATAAGGTACGCGTAAATACTGAATGACGCTATTCGGTTTTCCGATATCTCTCTAATAACTGTGCCGGTCAGGCGCTGTGCACAATTTTAGAGGCCATAAGTGGGCGTGCTATGTGCGCAAATTAGTCACCTAACTACTCTAACTAGTGCCCGATTCCGAAAATTGGAACCACGAAAAACAATAAAGAAAAAACAAAGATTATAATCTGTATAATCTGTGGTACTACACACTTGGTATTTCGAGTCAAATTGTCGTTATGAACCGCATGTTACAGTTTCAATCAATGTCAAAAGTTGACATATGATATGTCATTCTATTCAGAGTGTCATTTTCTATCGAATAAAGCTTAGACAAGGAAAGAGAGGGGACGGCTAACACGCATATTTTCCCGTGATCGGTTAGGGAGGCCAAAATTCGATCGGCGGCCATACTTTGGTGACAAGATTTCGAGGTGACACCGAGAGAATTTTTATGTTTTTTGTGACAACTGTTTTGTTTTAAATTTATAAACTGTATTGTTTAGTATGGTGAGATGTTCAGCGTATGGCTGCAAAGGCCGAAGCGAGAAAAAAGTGGCTGGAATTACATTTCACAGGTAAAAATCGATACACAACTTTTGTTATGTGGTCATAAAATGTAATTTTTTTCATTATAGCAGTAAAAATATGTAAAATGCTTTTAATATGTTTTGTACCACATCCAAACCAAACTATTTTTAATAATTCCAAGTAGTATTTTCAATATCCTTTATTATAATTATTATGTTTGAAACTATAAATAATGCTACTCAGTATGGATTTCTCCAGTGGTGTAGGGAATTATCAGAGAACTTTTTTTATATATTTTACATGTAAAAAAATGTATAAAGTATTGTTATCAAATATGTAAAATAATTGTAAACTATAAAAAAAAATAAAAATTCTAGTGATAAAAAATCTATATGTATAGTTGTTATATAAAACGTAAATTTACCTGCCAAGATTTGCTGGGGGTGGACAAACTTGTGGTGGGCTACTTGTTACTACATATATTTTTTTAAACATTCTTTCAAAAAATTTGCTAATTTAGGTGTATAATAATAGTCTCAGTGAGTAATTAATAAATTATTTTTTTGTGGAAAATTAGGATATTCTTATGATTGAAGGTAAAAAATATTAAAAATTACATTATTCGTTGAATCCATACGCAAGTGTAAAGGGGAATGGCTAGATTCATTATTATACCGTATGGTCGAAAAAAAACGACGTCCAGTTGGCTTGTAAATGACGATCGACGACATTCCCCATATAATTTTACATGTAAAATGACAGCGATCTTCATTTCATAGCTATCGCTGACGCCGTCTTTTTTCGATGTCGTTTTGTATAGTTTTTATGTCATTTTATATGTAGAATTATATGGGGAATATCATCGATCGTAATTTACAAGCCAACTGGACGTCGTTTTTTTTTCGATTATACGGTATAATAATGAATCTAGTCAATTCCCTTCACACTCGCTTACGGATTCAATGAATAATGTAATTTTTAATATTCATTTGTGAAATTGTCATTTCCAAACAAAATAGAAGCCGTTTTTTTTATCATACCTTTGAATAAGAAGACTAAGGAAGGAGCATATCAAAAATCTTAGGTACACCGCGATGGGCCTCAAATATGGCCGACTTAAATTCCGGTTTATCAGTGTCGTTCTAATTTTATTTAAAAAATGTAAAACTATGATGTAGGGTAGACGTGGGGTAGACTCAATAATTTGTTGTTTTATTTTACGTTGTGAATAAATGTTGGTAGTTATTAAAATTGTTATAAAATATATAATTCTAATAAAAATAGATAAGTTATAATAAGTATTTATTAACACAAACATCCGATACGCTACTGAAGCAGGTAAGTCAAATTAACGTATCTAAATTCTTTGACATCTAATCTTTGACAAGTAATAAATAAAAGCAAAAATGCAAGAAAAATATATAATTTAGTTAATTTAAGTGAATTTCATAAATGATCGGTTTACTACACGTATGTATATTATATAGTAGTACTTACTAGCGAAAAGTTGTTCCATTATTTCACTCAATTTTTGCCGAGATCTACCGCACGCTACACAACCAACTATTTTAGAGTCTTTTTCGATAAATCGCGATAGTGTCACTGTTAATTTAAGTTCTGCCACAATTTCCATCTAGATTTACTACCTTTATACAACTATCAGTAGTAGAATAAATAATAAATAACATAAAATAAGCTCTGTAAAGACTGACAAATCCACAAAATTTCAAATAAAATTCAAATGTGTCAAATGAATCGTCAAACAGAACTGTCAAGGATCCCCACCCTAGAGAGCTTTTATGGTGGCTTTTCCGCCCACCATGCATGAATACATGGATAGCATTATGCTCCTTCCTTAGTCTTCTTATTCAAAGGATCATACAGTATATATGTATATACACGTTTAAAACATATGTTATTACATTATTTTTTATTTAATTATACATTATACACACGTTAATAAATAAATAATTGTCTTGATAATCAGTCCACTGTGACTGTTAAATAAATTTTGCATTATCGACTTAGATATTCTAATATTATAAAGGTGAGACTATAAAATACAAAATTGTATATGCATTACTCAAAAATGAACGATATATTAGTTTACGTTTTAATAAATATTTTGTACCGTCTAGGTACAAGCTAATTTCTGATGCTACGCCATTGGAGAATTTCGCGTGGTGACAACTTGCCTCACTTTCAGCTGCCGTGTTACCTGTCCCCTCTCTTTCCTTGTCTAAGGAATAAAGTAAAAATTATCGAGGGTGTTATTTAAAAATCAAAAGTAGTAGTCATTTCCGGTGATACAGGAAGTGACCAAAAACAATTGAATACGTCAACCAATCCTAATATAAGTCATATACAAACATAGCACATCTCGTTTTTTTTTATCTGAAAAAGTAAAAAAGATATAGGGGTGAGCCACTTTTGAGACGCACCCGGAATAATCTACATCCCTTTCCGACTGTCATTCAAAAAATATACGTTCCAAGTTTCCAAAACATGTATTTTTGAACATGTTTTTATTACCACCTAATTCTGCAATAATGACCTCAGTGCAGATACACATTTTTAAAATTAAAACACATTTTAAACACATTTTTTGAATAAAACGTTTACTTGAATTTCTCTATCAATATAAATACGTAATCTCTATCAATACAAATACGTAACGTCCATCTCAGTTGCCGATCGATTTTCAGATGGATTTCAGTTTCTATTTTCAATTTATTTCTGGTATAAATGCAGGCGTATTTCCTTTCAATGCAAATTACTTATAGTCAACAAAATATTGTGATAAATCGAATGAAATACACCCATGCATCGTCAGAGATAGTAATATCACGGGTAATATCATAGTCAGAGATAGATAAATAGTACCTATTTAATACATCAAATAGAAGATAGAAGCAGAAGATAGAAGCGATGCATCGAAACCACCGATCGAAACGCAATGATATCGATGTTTTTGATACATCGATGCATTTTCGACATTCCTAAGAAGAAGAGCCAAACAAAAACATAACCTAAAATTTTCAAAGCTTGATGACAAGCGGTTTTATAAAAGTATATTTTCAAAATAATCTAGAAAATCTTTCTGAAAATTTCTGTTGAAACACCGTATTTAGTGCACAATGGCCTCCGGCCTTTTCGGCTGGGAATTACTATATGGCAGCGTACAGAACGATGTTAAAACAAACCAAGACATTATTATTTGCCTCACGCATTTAGTTTTGGTGTCTAATGGATTTAAATGTATTGGATTGGGAGAGAGTAAAAATATAGATGGATCTGAGGCAAAAAGTGAAACTTTACCGAAAGGATGGAATCAGGATTATGCTATACGATATGTATATCAAGGAAGGCTGTACAATTTAAAAGGAACCAGTTTAGATGATGGTATTATTATTAATTTAGTACGAGTTGATGAACGTACTGTTGGATCTATACAATTAAATACTCGTCAAGTTGTCGCAAAATCTGGATCACTTGATGAAATGATACCCGATAATAACAATATTGTCAATCAAATTAAAAAAGAACTTATTGATGCTGTGATAGTCTCGAAGAAAACTCAAGACAATTCAAGTCAAACTCAGTCTAATCCTACAAGAACAAGGGATGAAGATCGAGAATCACCTGATTACCTTAGAGATTTTCCAATTCCTTATAGATATGGTTCTCAACCTGCAGTCGTAAGTAAATTAATATACATATAAGTATATTTATTTTTTATTCCCCGTGAAGGGTTGAAAAAAAATATGTTTATTTATTTCCAAAGAATACATGTTTTTTTTTGGTTTACAACTGGTTTTGTTTTAATATTGATTTTAACACCAAATTTATGTATAAAAGGGTATAGCCAGATTAATATGGGAAATCTGCCCCCGCGGCTTTTTTAACTTGCACTCAGGGGATTGATTTGGTGTCAAATCAAAATAATTCACCTAAATTTTTAGCTCTTTAACTGAAACGGTTTTCCAGATTTTCTAAAAAACTGTTTTTTCAATTTTTTTGTTTTTATTTTTATAGTAAAATTCAAAATTAATTAATTATGATTTTTTTTCTAATTCGTAGAAGTCTAAGACATCAAAAAATAATATGATCATGATTCTTAAACGAAAAGCCAATTTTTAGCGGAGGAAAGAAAATTAAACTCTTTGTTTTTTAACCTTTGTGAAAGATGTCACTCACTAAAAATCGTCAGAAAATGTCTTTTTTCTACAAACGTCAGTAAAAATGTTATTTTTAACGCATGCTGTCAGTGCCTAAAATGTGAGCCTTTATGTCACTGATGGTAAAAGTCATTTACTTTTAGCACTGGTGCTAAAAGTAAACACTGGTGCTAAAAGTTACGTGATTTACTTTTAACACTGAAGCAACTGAAATAATTACCCTAGCAACCATAAACTTCATAATTAATTTGATTTCAGAATGACATATTACACAAAACATCCCCCTTTAGAACTTCGTCTGTTATGTTAAGAAATGAAAGTAAATAATAAAGCGCCTCTCGTGTTTGTTCGCACTTAAAAAATTTCATTTAATGCCTGTATATATTTTTAATATATTTTTTAAATTTACATTTTTTTAATTGTAAAGTAATACATTTCATTTAAATGGAATATATTACATAACAATTATGTCAATTACAGGATTACAAGCTTGTTTTCTAACATTTTTTAAATAAAACGAATTATAAAATTTCAATGTATGTATATTTGTCGTAGGTATGAAAAAAGTAAAATATAAAATGGACAAACGCTTACTTACATTGCAATAAAACTTCCACTTTTAGTTTTGCAATCCAAACGCAATATTTCTATGTCACAAATAAAAATATCCGACAACACTAAAATCCCTGAAACTTTCGCGGCTGACAACGAAAACTGAAAAATTAAACGGCACTTTTTGTTTTGGATCTGTATATCAACATTACGCTGTACTATTAGGGAGTTTTCGTTGCTTTAAAAAAATTCAACGGTACGGTTAACGGATACGTATCCATAACCGCTATTTTGACAGATAAAAAAACAGTTTTCGGACTTTCGGTTCATCGGTTCGGAGCCGACATACGATACGCTAACCGAAAACTGACAGCTAAGCACAGACCGTAGCGTAGTGTTTTGATTTTTGGTTTTTGTATCGTTGTTTGATTTGAAAGTGCTTTATATGACTTTATTGGGTATCGCTATATAGGATGGACAATTTAATTTTATTGGACTCTAGTGATGAATCGGATTTGGAGGATGCTATGCTGTTGGAAGGGTTTGAAAACAACATCGAATATCGAGCAGAACTTTATGGGGAGTTCAACCTAGAAATATTATCTGACCAAGAGTGCAAAGCTAACTTCTGCTTTGAAAAAAGACATTCCTCGATTAGTTGAAGCACTAAGAATTCCCAACGAGTTTAACACAGATAAAATAAATAATCAAAACATAAACAAAATAGAATGATGTTAGGTTAGATCTGTATTTTTCAATGTTGTGTTTCTACTGCGCTAGTGCGCATGCGTACCGCTATGTTAACGGCTTTAGCTAACGTCCGTAAAATATCGGCAGCTAGCGGTTACGATATACGATAATCGAAATTGAAATGTCAAAGTTGTCAATTAGCGTTAACCGGAATAGCAATTTGTAAGCAACAAAAACCCTATTATACGTTTGTTGTTGAAATAATATAAAATATCTAATTATAACTTGTAAATTTTAATATTTTACCATGATTTTAACTAGTTTTGACAATAACTAACTTTTTGTTATCAAGATGACATTTTAGACGGCAACTGACATATATGTCATAATATTTGAATTTAAATATGTATGTAATATAATTTAAATTACTATAATGCAATTTTATACTAAGAAAACATTTATACATTCACAAAATACAACAAAGTCTAATAATATAGTTTGAAAACAATGAATATTGAATTAAAATTGAAAAAGTTAAGCGCGACCCCTTGTGTCAAAATTAGATGATTAAATTTTCGCAATTTTTACACCATTTGATGACCGGTGGCGCCTCTAGTGTTTGTTCGGGCGGTTGGGCTTTTACTCCCGCTTATGGCCATTAAAGAAAAAGTTCTAAAGGGGGATGTTTTGTGACCCCTGGGCTCACCAAGGGATAGAAGGCAATGAAAAAGCAAATGATCTAGCTAAAAAAGGAGCGAACAGTCCACTAACTGGACCAGAACCGTTCTGTTTTCCAAACGGGAACCAACTGAAAGCGGAACTGAAGAATTTGGAAGACTCCATCTGTAACTTGGAATGGGTGTCCTCCAACGATCTAAGACACTCGAAAAAGTTCCTTAGAACTTATGACCGAGAAAAATCAAAGGTTTTCCTTGATTTAAGTAAAAACAATCTTGGGATTGTCACGGGGTTTCTAACAGGACACTGTCTCCTCAACGAACACCTCAGTAGGCTGAAACTGAGAAACAACGGCGAATGCAGATTTTGTGGGGAAAATGGGGAAACACCAGAACACCTTATCACTGAGTGCGCCAAGACGACGACCATTCGTGCCATGAACCTTGGTACGTCTGATGTCGAGGATGGAGAGCTGGCCTCTGTGGAGCCGTCTCAGATACTGGCTTTTCTTAAACCCCTGATGAGTTATAACTCGTTATAACTCAAGAAAGGGGAACACACAATAGATCTATAAGGTCGCGGTGATTAACTCCCCTCCTAAATATTCTACATTCTACATGTGTGCTAAAAGTGATTTTATTTTGTTCGAAGGGATGGGACACTCCGCCTTCGGCGTCGTGTTTCAAGCTTCCCTTCTCACAAAATAAAATACCACTTTTAGCACTTATATCATAAATAACTATATACTCCTTTACGCTCAGGAATTTTTTAGAATTTTTTGAAGTGGTGGAACAATATGAAAAAAAAAATAAAAACACATTTTTTTTCTAAAATCTACTGTTATAACTAACTTATATTTTTGTTTAGTTGAAAAAAGTGCGTAGAAAATATTTTTTTACTTCAAATTCACAATGATATTGCTTATTACACATTTTCAATCATATTGCATGCAATGATTACGGAAAGACTGAGTTTTTGAAAAATTTGCGTCAAGCTGAATAAATAATAATATATCTTCATTTTTTTTATAATAATCTTTATGTTTATTTCTGGCAAGGATGTAAGTATTTTTAATGAAAAAATATTTTCTACGCACTTTTTTAAACTAAACAAAAATATAAGTTAGTTAAAACAGTAGATTTTAGAAAAAAATGAGTTTTTAATTTTTTTTCATATTGTTCCACCACTTCAGAAAATTCTAAAAAATTCTTGAGTGTAAAGGAGTATAAAAAACATTTTCTGATGATTTTTAGTGAGTGACATATTTTACAAAGGTTAAAAAATGAAGATTTTAATTTTTTTTCCTCCTCTAAAAATCGGCTTTTCGTTTAAGAATCATGATCATATTATTTTTCCATGTCTTGACTTCTGAAAAAAAAATCATCATTAATTAATTTTGAATTTTACCTACTATAAAAATAAAAATAAAAAAAAAAGTTTTTTTGAAAATCTCGAAGACCGTTTGAGTTAAAGTGCTAAAAATTTAGGTGAATTATTTTGATTCGAAACCAAATCGATCCCCTGAGTGCGAGTCAAAAAAGCCGCGGGGGCAGATTTTCTATAATAATCCGGTTATACCTTAGACAAGGAAAGAGAGGGGACAGGTAACACGGCAACTAAAAGTGAGGCAAGTTGTCACCAATCGAAATTCTCCAATGGCGTAGCATCAGAAATTAGCTTGTACCTAGACGGTACAAAATATTTAGTAAAACGTAAACTAATATATCGTTCATTTTTGAGTGATGCATTTACCCTTTGTTTAAAACACTTTTTTTCAACTCTGTTTTAAACTGCATAGTGTAGACAGACACAAGAAAAATAAAACAGTTACCTATAAAAGTTGAAATTATAATATTCTATATCATTATAATTTCATGATTCATTATGTATACAGGGTGTTTCAAAAAGCATGTGCCATCTCGCGTGGGGAGATTCCTCGCGTAAAAATAAGATTTATTTTTTATATCAACATAGGTCCGATTCTGCTTTGTTTCGTAGCTACAGTGTGTTAAAGTCTTAATATTTTTAGCCGACCATACTAACAGGTATGATAGTAGACTATTAAGATCGGCAAAATAAGTTATTTTAATTTCACTCAAAATGAGTTATTTGGGTCATAAATGACCTAAATACAAACTATTTTCATGGTGTCTGTCTGTCTGTCCGTCTGTAACACGATAATTCAAAAACCGCTAAACCGATTTTAACCAAATTTGGCACAAAAATACTGTGGCACCCGAGAATCTGGCCATTAGTTTTTGGTGGGGTGGGGGGTTGGTAAGGGGGTGTGGAAGGGGGTTAAAACCTAACCTAACCTAACTCCAGAATTACAGTAACTAGCGAAACGGGGTTTTCAATTTAAGATTAGGAATAATATTTGCAACAAAATTTGTAATAAGATCAAAATCATTCAAAGTCGCAGTTTTTGAGATAAAAAAAATGCTTTTTATTAACATATTTTAGTATGGGCGGCTATATACAGGGTGGTCCGAACTGTATTTCGGAAACTTCGGCAGCATATTCTGCAGATAAAAATAAGTAAAAATGTTCGTATAGATATATGTCCACCAAACCAAACCAAAAATGCTTGGTTTCGGAGATACAGGGTGTAGAAGTTTCATTTTTATTTCGATTTTTTCTAAATAATTTCTGTAGTAACGTCAATATTTGGATTAAAATTGGTCTCTGGGAGTTTTTTGACACGAGAAATTTGATTTTGATGTCAATATGACTCCTACTAGTAGAGGGCGCCACCTACATATTTTTTAACTGGTTTGAAGAGTAATAACTTTTTGTCCGTACCTGTATAAAACTACTGAGTAACAAAATATACGTTTGCAACGCTTTTTACGTAAAAAAGGTCTTTTGGGGTAAAAATCGCTACGAGTAAGTAATGGTTTTTGAGATATTTGGAATTGAAATTATCAATACCTGTCATCACTGACATAAATTAAACTTGCTGACTAAATAGTTATTAGACTGAGATCATAAATTTGAAATGTTTTTGCACCAAATGTTCAACAAAAACTGTTTTATCATCATTTTTTTGCAGAAAAAAAATAAAAATTTCTCAAATTTATTATTTCAGTGAAATAACTATCTACAATACGTGTTTATTTTTCGTCAATAATGGTATGTATTAACTATTTCCATTCTAAATATCTGGAGAACGGTTGCTCGTAGCGATTTTTACAAAGAGATATTTTTCACGTAAAAAATTACAGAGATGTATATTTTTTCCCTCGGTAGTTTTATAGAGGTACTTTGGTACACTTTTAGCATTTCGAATGATATTTTGAGGTTAAAAGTTACTATAAATGCGACATATTTTAAAGCTAAAAAAGTGTCGACATATTAACCAGGGATGTGCATACGGGTGATCAATGAAATATTTTTGTAAAAAAAACATGTGCGCAAAACTTTTGCACTGCCTTTTTGTTTCTTTTGTGAGCGAGAACAGGGGCGGATACAGGAATTTATTTTAGGGGGGGCCTAAATAAAAAGTAATGTAGAATATGCTATTTTGGGCGACATTTTTAACCCAAAAGCTTAATATTTAATTCATTCTACAGATTTTAGGGGGGGCCTGGGCCCCATGGGCCCCCTCTCTGTATCCGCCACTGAGCGAGCAAACGTAAGCAGTTTAATGCCTATTAAAAGTTGTCTCTTGATATTTTGTCGATTTCGGCCTCCTTGATGAAATAAACTCAATTTTATTAATTTGCCTTGATCCAAGTCTAATAGCGACCTATAAAAAATTTAATATCATTAACTTGCGAAAATTTTAAATAAGTAGGTACTCATTGATTCCTCACTAAAAAATATGAAAAAAAGTTCCTATAAACATGGGTATGGAAATGCATAGTTTTAGAATTACAGGATTTTAAAACTTTTTAAAATTCGTTTTTTTGTAATTATCTTAAATACCATTATTTTTTTATTCCAAATGCTGTAGATTGAACTAATAGTACTAATATTTAATAATAAATTAGGTAAAATATATAATTTATTAATTTTATTTTTATTTTAATTTTATTAATTATGATTAATCAAATTGCGTTTATCTCATCAAGGAGGCCGAATTCGACAAAATATCAAGAGATAACTTTTAATTTGCATTAAACGGCCTACACAATTTTGATATCAAAAAAAAGTCACATGTTTTTTTTTTGAAAATAATTGCAACAACAACAACCATAAAATTACTATAAATAGTCACTAAACTTAACTTTTATTCAGTTTATTCGTACCACGCACGAGCAAATATTCTTCTTTTGTTTTATTTGGGTGTATGAAACAACCGTCACAGTTTAAGATGTTCTTATATTACTAGCATAAATATTGTCAGGCATATCATTATTACAGTTGGGAATTGGAACTTTTGGTGTTATAACAGCAAAATCAAACACTAATTCACCACAATACACCAAAACACTTGACTAAAACACTGGACGTGCGTTTCGTTAATGCATTATCAGCAGATGATTAACACTTAAAATTTTAGTCAGTTTTTATCATCTGCTAATGATGCTAATATGGTTGCGAAATGCGCGCCTGTCTTAATAGTAAAGTGTTTTGGTGTGTTGTGATGAATTAGTGTTTCATATTGCAAGTATACAATTTATTATTTTATATATTATGTAGCCCTATGGTCGGTCTGACTTGGATCCTTTTGGTGTGGCACCTTTACCACGAATAGCGATACCGCCCGCGGGAGGTGGAATGCTATTTAATCCTCCACGGCCTTCTCTTCCAGGTGAGTTCTATAATAATGCATTATTTCACAGATCGTTAGGGATTACAATAAAAAATAATATTAAAAGGCAAATATTTTTTTCTCCTATTAACAAAATTGTGTAGGTTGTGTAATGCCAATTAAAAGTTGTATTTTGATATTTTGTCGATTTGGGTTTTCTTGATGAGATAAACAGAATTTTAATAATCACAATTAAGAAAATTCAAATTAAAATGAAACTAATTAATTATTTAATCTAGTTTATTATTAAGTAATTTCTAAAATCAAAATGATTTAAATCTTAAGTCGAATTCAACATAACGTTCAAATGATTTAAGTCTTAGTCTTTGACTTAAGTCATTTTATTTCAAGTCAAGTTATTTTTGTAAAGACTTAAATCAATATAACATTATTCAGTCTTTTTTATGAAAAATATATAAAAATCTGACTTAAGCCTTTTATAAAAAGACTTAAATTTTTTAATGACTTAAGTCTTTCTAAAAAGACAGACTTTTTTTAGAGGCGCTCATATTAGAATTTTACAAATCTATATCAGTAAATTCATTCTGGTCAATGATATGTAAAAATATTTTTGTCAATAGGCCGCAAACAGTTAAATACAAAAGTTATAGGGTTTTTAAATGTCTATTCGCGAGTAATTAATTTACAGGGTGGTCATATTCCCGTAGCAGATGAGAGTTTTATTTTTTAAATGGAATTCCATGTATATTATTGCATATTTCAATTCTAAGCAAAAATCGAAATACACACAATGTATCTCAAACCAACCGTTTTCGAGTTATTGACTTTTGAAAATATCAATTAAACAATTCGATTTAATTAATTTCTATGTGTTCGGTTTCATTTAACGAAGCCATTCTAGGGAAACTCTGTAAACTTAATAGTATTTGACATTAGTTGTTAAGTTAGCATTTATAGATGTATAAAATGAGATTAACTCAAGTCTGAAAATTGCAAAATTTTCTTTTAACATTTCAAAATCAAAGCTTTATAATTCGGAAATTTGGGTTGAATTTAGGTACCTACATTATGTGTATTACGACTGTTGCATAAAATTGAAGGAAGAATTGAAATATGCAATAATATACAAGGGGTTGCATTTAAAAAAAAAATTTTTGATGTGCCACGACTTTATGATCGATCCCGTATACTTAAATTTACTACTGGCTAATAGACATTTAAAAACCCTATAACTTTTGTATTTAACTTTTTGCGGTACCTTGTATATTTTACCTAATAATCGACCGTTCCCATACATATCAGCGACCCTGTATTTACAATAATTGTACCCAGAATGATAATAGCAAGACAGAATAGGATTTGAAAGGCTGGATGAATATTTGGTAAAGTTTTGCGCTTTTTAAAAACTAAAGAAGATAAATGGAAACTAGACCAGACATAATAGTAGATAGCTTGACTTTACTATGACTATTAAGCGTACCATTCTAATTTATTTGTTTTGTACATTAAAAATAAAATGCGTTTTTGATATGGCAATATATTCTATTTTCTATTTCAGGCAATTTCGGGATTGCTCCGGGATCTTTGCCACCTGGCGCTCGCTTTGATCCATTTAGACCACCACAAGGTTTACCGAATCCTAGAGGACCCCATAGGCCAGATAATGACGAATTTCCCCCACCTGGTTATGATGATATGTTTATGTAAATATATATGTAAGTTTTAAAGGAAAAATTGCATAATAAAGATCTTATTTTTTTGTTTTGAACTACTAACTGGGTTAATTTAAGTAGATGCTATTTATAATTTGCATAATTTCATATAATAAAATAGTCTAAAATGTATCTACTTGTGTTATTTAATTTAAAAAGTACAGATATATTGGGCCGTTTTTTCTAGAAACTGTTAATTTACTAGTTATATTAATAGATCTACAGGATTAGAATAAGCGGAATGTATGTTTACTACAATAACATTAAGAATCATTTTTGCCCAGTACTCATAAACCTTTTCTATTTATTACATATATCGATTTCACAGCAAAGTCACCTGATAAGGTGACTGATGATAAGGATCATATAAGGATAATTTTCAGGGGCGTGCGGTGAAATTTTATGTTAGGGAAGCCATTTTTAAAAACTTACTTATTTGCAATGTAATTCGATTCTTCGATCACTTTTTGCAAATTCGTTAATTACGTCATCATAAAAATGTGGATGCTCCGACATATTTTGGGGAAGTTTATTTTCGATGTACAACAGCTATACCGGGTGCGTCTCAAAAGTGGCTCACCCCCTATAACTTTTTTATTTTGCAGATAAATAAACGAGATTTGGTATGTTAGTATATGACATAAATTGGGATTTATTGACGTATTCAATTGTTTTCGGTCACTTCCGGTTTCACCGGAAATGACTACAACTTTTGATTTTTAAATAGCACCGTCGCACGTCGGTATTTTTTGACTTTATTCGATAGAAAATGACACTCTGAATCGAATGACGTATCACATGTCAACTTTTGACATTTTCGCATATGGTTTATTTGAAACTGTAACATGCGGTTTATCGGGTTTATAACGACAATTTGACTCGAAATATCAAGTGAGTGGTATCAAATTATTCGTAAAAAATGCTTTTTCCAAATATGCTAATGAGCCACCCTCGTTCCATTTGAAAAAATTGAGATATTAAAAATACGATTTGGGCATCTTTTAACCGGCCAGCTCAAGACACTAAAAACATTAGACGATCAAATGTATTTTTCCAAGGTTCCTTGATTAAAAGTTAGTGTTTTTAACACTCTAGATTGAAATTTAAAATACAATTTTTTGAGTGACTATGTCAAAAGTTGACATATGATATGTCATTCGATTCAGAGTGTCATTTTCTATCGAATAAAGTAAAAAAATACCGAGGGTACCATTAAAAAATCAAAATTATAGACATTTCCGGTGAAACCGGAAGTTTCGAATACGGAAGAATTGAATACGTCAATAAATACCAATTTATGTCATATACTAACAAACCAAATCTCGATTTTTTATCTGAAAAAATAAAAAAGTTATAGGGGGTGAGCAACTTTTGAGACGCACCCGGTATACTTGCGAAAGTTTCTCCTGACCCGTTGAATTTCTCATGAAATTTTTTATACGTTTAAGTGTTGAAAAAATGCGTTTCAATGATGAACTTCTGGCAGGTATGGTCAATACTAATTTACACAATTTCAACACTTCGGTGTAGGCATCTTCTAGCTCCTTGTTTTTTAAAAATTGCATTAGTTCTCTAGCGTTATTTTTTGCAATAATGTCGTCAGTTAATCACTTTTAGTTCAGATCGCAGTAACACTCGGTTGAAGAACTGGCCATAATGAAGAAGAGATTTAAACGCATCTTCAGGAAAAGTTTTTCCTTTATATGCATCAAAATTGCAGAGCTCGAGGAATTTTAAATCATTTAAACCGTTAAATCTACAGTTTATTTGTTGCTAAATATATGTCCGAGAAAACAAACGACATCGATGTGTTATTAATATTTGCCTATTTTTTATCGACTAATTCCTTGTGCTGGCGGTGACTAATTTCAAACTGCTTATTAAGGGCCTTTTCAATTCTGGTTTTGCCAAAGACTTTTTGTTTTATGACGGCCTGCAAATGTGCTTTGGACATAATGTGTCTTTTTACAGTTTTATGGAAATTGTTTAAATTGGAAAAAACTAGTTTTATTCCAGACTTCATTTTCAAATAATAAACATGGTCAACCAAATAACTTACTTATATTTTCACACCCTTTAAATTGTTTGTATAAACCAAATTAATTGTTACATATTTTGAAAAATTAGATTATGTTTTACAAGATGATGTTTTGTAATTTGTCTAGGGGAAGCACTGCTTCCCTCGCTTCCATGGACTGCACGCCGCTGATAATTTTATTAGGAAATTATCCATGACACAATTGCATTTGTTTTTTTAGAGTTGGTATAAAAAATTGCATTTGATTTTATAAAATCAGCATATTCAATTTAGAAACTATAAGAATTGGTGTTCTGCAGAGGTTGTGTGTCAATGAATGATTGAATGTGTACATTTTATCTACCTCTTGTTACTTCTATAAAAATTCTGTTGTGTTTAATAATTTAATAGGTATATGTATAATATACCGGGTGATCGGAATTGTATTTGCGAAACTTTCGCAGTATATTCGTGAGATAAAAATAAGTAAAAAAGTTCGTATTAGTATGTCCCAAAATGCTTCGTTTCAGTGATACAGGGTGTAGCAGTTTCATTTTTATTTCGATTTTTTTCCGAATAATTTCTAAACTAATGTCGTTATTTTGTTTTAGTCGCAAAAGACGCTTCACGCAAAAAACGCAAAAATCGCTTTCTGTGTGGCCGTGGGCTTACACTATACAATATAATATTTTAAATTATGTTCCGCGGCACTATCTACAACCGAAGAGGCGTTCACCGTCAAATGATTGATGACGCGCCTGTTCTTTTCTTTAGTCGCGGCCAGTCTATTAGTTATAGTATTTCCAATGTCAATTGGACTCGTTTGGGACTTTTTGGTTATCCAAACGATGCTGACAATAGCGTGCGGCAACAAAGGCAGCGACGAAATTAAGAGTCTTAAACCAGTCTCATTGACTTTAAAAATACTATTCTTATATTAGTAACATTTTTATTTCTTTTTACCTCCGTCGTGCGCTCCTGCCATTTATTTCTTCTTTTTCGGTACTTGTCAAGAACTCTTTTTAGTTTGGGTCCAAGTTTGTGCTGTATTATCGACGGGGATAGACTTAACAAGAAAAATTCCAGTGGCGATTCTGTTTTTTCTACTATCCGAGTTGTAGATTTTTGAACTGTTTGAATACGTTCAGGAGGCCTATATAAAACCTATATTAATGAAATTATACTTTGCATTCTAATTAAAAAGAAAATACAAAAATTTACTTTATTGTTTTGCCAATAAGTGATTAAAACAGTAAAATATTATTAAACAAGTATTATGAACTGTTCAGTTTAAATTTGGGTTACATTATAATAAAGTTCCGTGTGATATGGATGCGCAAAAGGAAATATGTAGCAGTTGTTTCATCTGCGCACAAGAGCGTCGCCAATCAATGGCCTAGAGGGAGGCAAATTAATGTAACTGGAGGGTTGAGAAAGTATAAATTGGGAGTACGAAAAATAAAATTAGTAAACAAAATTGCATCTATTAAAAAAAGTAGAATAAACATGCAAAATAAGACACATAGAGACAGACACTTGGACGCTCTTTGGATCTAAGGAACTGATTTTAAATAAAAAAGTCGGATTGTACCGTTGTCCAAGTGTTCCTTAGAATTTTTAGAATTTAGAATGAGTGGGAGGGGGGTTAATCATTGCGACCTTACAGATCTATTGTGTCCCCCTTTCTTGCTTCATACAGTCCCAGGGCTTTGACAAAAGCCAGTATCTCGGACGGTTTTACAGAGGGTAGTTCTCCATCTCGTCTCGGCGCACTTAGTGATGAGGTGTTCTGGTGTTTCCCCATTTTCCCCACAGAATCTGCATTCGCCGTTTCTTCTTAGTTTCAGTCTACTGATGTGTTCATTGAGGAGACATTGTCCTGTTAAAAACCCCGTGACAATCCGAAGACTGTTATTATTTCAATCCAGGAAGATCTTTGATTTTTCTTGGTCGTAACCCCTCAGAAACTTCTTCGAGTGTCTTAGACCGTTGCAAGATTCCCATTCCAGGTGGCGGATGAAGTCTTCCAAGTTCTTGAGTTCCGCCTTTAGTTGGTTACCACTTGGGAAGCAGAACGGTTCTGGTCCAGTTAGTGGGAGTGTCCGCTCTTTTCTAGCTAGAGCATTGCCTTCTATCCCTTGGTGAGCAGGCCACTTAGTTGATCGCTTTTAACGCTGCTTGACTATCAGATAAGACGGCTATTTCTTGTTTCCGATAGTTCCTTATATATAAGCTAGATAGCAGTATTTCGTTTCCATCTAGTTGGATCCACTGTTGGAGTTTTCCAGACTTCGCTTTCTGGTGAATGGCAGTATCGCGGTTTTGTCTGAGTTGATACTCAGCCCGAGAGATGGTGCAGGACACCATCTCTCAGTGATACGGAGTCCTCTTTGGATACTATCACACAGGGTGCCTTCATATTTCCCCCGAGTGATCATGACTATGTCATCTGCATACCCAATGCAGTGTATTCCCGCCTAGAGTTAATTCATCTAGTAGTTCATCCACTACCAAGCTCCACAGCAAAGGGGAGGTTACTCCACCTTGTGGAGTTCCTTGCGTTTTTTTAACAACTACAATTTTGGTGCCCATCTGAGCCTCTGCTGTTGGTGTTTACAGCATTTCCCAAAACCAGCGAATAATAGTTCTGTTCACTCCTCTTGTATCTAGATATCGCCTGACCACCTTATGTGGGATATTGTCAAACGCCCCCACAATATCCAAGAAGGCACAAATTGCTGTTTCTTTGCTATCCAGACTTGTCTGTATTAGCTCCGTTAATTGGTACAGAGCAGTTTATGTGGATCTGTCCGCTCTATATGCATGCTAACTATCGTGCAGTGGTTTAACCTTTAGATGATTTTCTCCAGTATGGTTGTCAATTACTTTCTCCAGCATTTGTTCAAGTGTCCAAGCAAGTGTTCCTTACGCCCGATATAACCTGCCGAGCCACAATAGGCTCTCGCGGCCGCAGTGGACGGTCTCACCTGGGACCCACTTAGTATATTACTTAGTAAATAGAAAACGTATATTACTTAGTAAGTAGAAAATACTAAGTATATTATTAAATAGAAAATATAAAGATTGCCTTTGTCTGATATTTCTTAGTAGTCAAGAGAGCAGTCATTTTTACGTTTTAAATTTTTTACGTTGCCGGAGTCAATTCCGAAGACATGTCCGATGTTAGTTCCTTGTTGGAGATGCGTTAGTTTTCTATAACTTATAGTCTTGAGCAGTGAGCACTCCATTAGGGCGCGACTTTTTTTGTCCAGGCTGGGTTGTCAGAAGTGGTGCTCGTTGTGAAGGTTGTGTTATGGTGTTACCTGCCATCTCTGTATATGAACCTTTTTGCTTCAGTACCGAATATTCTTGCGGGGTGTTATATAGATCTCTACTCTTGCGGGGTGTTATATAGAATAAACAAAGTGTAGTTGCGGCAAGAAATAAATAGTATTGCCGTCAAACCAAATCAATATTAATTAGTTTATACGCGAATGCCATACATGACAATGGGTGATATGCATGCTTATACAACAAATGCTTATACCTTGATTTCTCGAAATATACTGATAAGATTTGTGAGCAACCGTCAAAGATTAGCATTTAAGAAGTAAAAGCATTTGCTTCTCTTTATGCATATGCGCTACCAATGTCATATATTCTTACGTGGCACAAACTATATAATACTGAAACGAGGTTTTATTAATTAAGTATGTACCGCAGTGTTTTTGAATTTGTGTTATAAGTCACTTTTTATAATAATATACTAATTTTTGGTTTCTAATTAATTAATAACTTACTTTCTTATATCCAGTCTTCTGTGTGCATTAAAATAATAAAAACTAATTTAGTCATCAAAAATAAGTACAAGGTTTCGTTTGTCAATGATATAATAACTAAATATAATTAATTGGTTTAAAAAAAACACATTAATTCATTATCCGTAGTAGTTGCGGAATTATGATAGGTATGATTTACTAAAAATAACTATCTGTTTGTGTATGAACACAACAATTTTGTATAGAACTTTTTTTTTATTGTTTTGGCAAACGATTAAACGTTGGCGTGGGACTGAACTGAAATTAGACCAGCAAATCCAAGACGGCGGTGGTTCATAAAATGGCCGCGCTTCATGTGAATTGTTTACATTTGTACATTTTCCCCAAAATTTAATGTTTTCCATCGATAATTTGAGTGTTTTTCATTACTGTACGCAGATGTAGTAGCAGGAAAGGATTCGATTTTTTTCGAGCTCTCACAGGTAGCGTAAACAGGCTCGTAACGCAGCTACTACAAAATGATAGATAAAAACATAAAAATTAGGTTACAGAATTACGAGGCATAAGTTTACTACAATATATCTTATCGCAGACATGCACTTGCCTCGGTGCCGCGCCGGTGTCGGTGCCGGAGTGGAAATCCATTGCAATTATAAATAAATTAGCTCCTTCACATATACTCCGATCCGGTAAAATAGTCGGGAACCGGCAAATACAATAGTATTAAATACAACTGTCTCCGATTTTGCCGGTGTGTGTGCAAACGCTCTTAGAGCGCTTTCACGTCTTTGGCTTTCACACACGTCGCGCCGGCCGGCTTTGCACCTGTTTTGACAGTTGTATTTAATTCTATTATATTTGCCGGTTCCCGACCAATTTACCGGATTGGACTATATATGAAGGATCTAATTTATTTATATTGCAATCGATTTCAGGACCGGCAACGGCACCGATTTTGGTTAGGTTGTGATATGAATCGCGTCCATTTTATGAACAGCCGCCATCTTGGATTTGCTGGTCTGATGCCGTCATAGTTCTTCTACTGTGCGGTACAATATGATAAAAAAGGCGTCAGCGATGGCTATGAACTGAAGATCGCTGTCATTTTATATGTAAAATTATATGGGGTATGTCATCGATCGTCATTTTCACACCAACTGGACAACGTTTTTTTTCAAACATACCTTATATTTAAAAATACTAAAATTATATTTATGTATTGAAATGAGTTTATATTTTGCTATTCATGACAAAAAATCGTATCATAGTATAGTTTGACACCAGAAACACGCCTATGATGTTTTTTTGCAAGACAAATGTTGAAAGTTTTATTTTTTTGTTTTCCGGAAAATGTTGAAACATTTTTAAGTGCCACCGTTCATTCTCCGGAAATTCGTTAACCGTGCATAGATACTTTCTCTCCAAGATTGTATCTATGTATGTTGCATACATTATTCACATTCTGCACGTTTTTAAATTCAGTGGTGTTGTCAAGAATTTCAGTGCAGTGAAGTGTTGTTAAGTGTAGTGCGGTTTTAAGAGTGGTAAAATGTAAAAAAAAGAAAGTTTTGCTGTTATATCGATCTGCTAGCGAGATATCCTTTTTTAACGTTCTATAAGTTTTTATTCTTTTAAGCTTTTACTCCTTTTTTAATGTTCTATAAGTTTTTATTCTTTTAAGCTTTTAATCCTTTTTTAATGTTCTATAAGTTTTTATTCTATTAAGCTTTTAATCTTTTTTTTGTGGAATGTGGGAAGTATGGCTTAATTATGACTTAAAAAAATAAAGCACCTTTGCAAAACCTCTTAGGTGGTGTGGAGTCTTGCAAGTAGTTCTTAAGTTTTTTATTCGATGTGGCAACACTAGGCGACGAACAAGCCGAGATCTCTGTAATTGACGATTTATGACGGATGTAGCCAAAATGTTGCAATCTTTTTTTTAAATTTTCAAAGTTTAATAACTCGGTTATTTGTAATTTATTTAAAAAATGGTAAAGAGAAAATATGTGTCCCTTGACCAGATCTACCACCCCTTAAACTACTCGCAGTTATTTCTGGGACACCCTATATATACATACATAACTATGATGTGGTGTGATCAAAATTATTAACGTTTGTGTAGTGTTTCGGTGTAATATTTTCGTTGTCACCCAAATAGATTAGAACTTATATTTTAGTAACTACCACGTAAATATTACCGTCCTTTGCCTTCATCTTCTATCTTCTTCTGTTCTATTACGTCATACATTGCATAGAATATAGGAGGCATTTTTCGTTGCCTTACTGTCATTATAGCACAACCAGGTTTATTTATTCCTTGAACTAAGTTAGTGTGTCTGTCACATGGATCTGTGAAGTAACTAAAAAAATCCAATATTTACAATTCGGTTTTGACTAATATATACCTATTTATCCAAGGTTGGATGAACTTTTCTTAGTGGTCGGAAAGCGATCTCTTGAAACAAGAGGGGTGAACAGTACGATAATTCGCTGGTTTTGGGAAATGCTCTCAACACGAACAGCAGAGGCTGACATAGGTGGTAGATACCTGATGGTAGATACCACCTGATAGCCACAAGGTGGAGTAACCTCCCCTTTGCTGTGGAGCTTGGTAGTGGATGAACTACTAGATGAATTAACTCTAGCGGGACTACACTGCATAGGGTATGCAGATGACATAGTCATCATTGCACGGGGGAAACATGAAGGCACCCTGTGTGATATTATCCAAAGAGGACTCCGCATCGCTGAGAGATGATGCAGGACTGTCGGGCTGAGTATTAACTCAGACAAAACCGCGATACTGCCATTCACCAGAAAGCGAAGTTTGAAAAACTTGAAAAGAATCCATCTAGATGGAAAGGAAATACTGCCATCACAGGAAGTGAAATATCTGGGAATAACCCTGGATATTAAACTTCTCTGGAACATGCATATTAAGAACATTATCAGCAAAGCCACAAAGGCTCTCATGATATGCAGAAGACTGGCGGGAAATAGGTGGGGCTGCTCCCCTAACATTTTACGCTGGATGTATACCATGATAGTAAGACCCATGATTTCTTATGGAGCAGTTGCTTGGTATACAAAAACTAGAGCAACGTACAGCAAGGCAAAACCTGTGCAAAGTACAGAGACTGGCATGTATCTGCATCACAGGTGCCATGAGAACATGTCCAACAGCAGCAATGGAGGTCATTCTAGACCTAACACCACTGCACATTGTCGTTGGTAGTTATGCCAATGCGACAATGATTAGAATGGCTATTGACGGAAACAGTACTGGGAGAATTTTCAGGTCAGGGGCTTGGAACACCCTCAAAAAGAAAATTCCACTTCTCTAACTCCCAGTGGATGACATACCAAGAATTTAAAACTTTGAGAAACACCTCACTGTAGTATTGAGTAATAAAAAGGATTGGAAGAAAGAAACGCTTATTCAGCATATAAAAGACCATACCATCACGTGGTATACTGATGCTTCCAAAACCAAAGCAGGGACAGGGATAGGAGTATTTGGGCCGAAAACTGAATACTCCGAACCAATGGGCACCTACTCCAGTATCCTTCAGGCAGAAATTTGCGCTATCGAAAGATGCGTACAATTTATCTTAGATATGACCTATCGAAAACAGGAAATTGCCATCCTGTCCTCCTACTCTGGGTGCCTGCTCACCAAGGGATAGAAGGCAATGAAAAAGCAAATGATCTAGCTAGGAAAGGAGCGAACAATCCACTAACTAGACCAGAACCGTTCTGTCTGGGTCCACAATGGTCCACATGATCGAGATTTATGTCATTATTTATATCTAATAATACATATTGAAATTGGTAACTCGGTAATATGGTACTATCTTACCGGCCCACGGATCTATCGGCCGCAGGGAATTTCCCAGGATCCCGGTAGGTTCATCCAACCCTGTATTCATCTGGTAACTCAATAAGAGTATCCTCCAAAAAAGCCCAGAGTTAGCTCTAATTTTTATAAGGCCTTTTTAACATAAGACATTAAAACATAATATAATAATTTGTGTCAAATTGTAAATTAAAGAGAAAATAAAATTTTCTTACTTTCGTAGTTTCGTGACTTGAATTTTAGACTTTTCAACATCGTATGCCAACTTTCTATTTACGATATCAATTTTATCAATGAAAGATTGATCTACGTATTCAGCAACTCTTTCGTCAGGTTCCAAATCAGCATGGGGAATAATCTACAAAAAAGTGCAGTGGAATACCTATACATGAGGTGTATTCGAGGGTGACCGTTGCTTGATTTTGTATACCTAAAGGGGTATACCTAACACACCCAACGTTCCGAAAAACCTGATGTATCGGCATCATAAGCATATCAGGTTTCCTATTTAAGATTTTTTCTGCAATCTTTTTACTAAAATATGCGGGTAACAGTACCTTACATTTTAAAAATATCTTTATACATAAATATAAACACAGAGTATTCCGGCCTTATGATTGGCGTCGCGAATTCAAACAAAAAAAAACCGAAGTTATTTATTTATTTTTACAGCTATACAGGATGTTTCAAAAAACATGTGCCGTCTCTCGTGAGGAGATTCCTCACGTAAAAATAAGATTTATTTTTCATGTCAACATAGGTCCGATTCTGCTGTGTTTCGTAGCTACAGTGTGTTCGAATCTTAATATTTTTTCTATTTATTATAATTTTCTTCCAAGTACTTTTAGCGTTTCAAATGAAATTTTGAGGGTAAAAGTTACTATAAATGCAACATATTTTAAAGCTAAAAAGTGTCGACATATTCACCAGGGACGTGCATACGGGTTATCACTGGAATATTTTTCTAAAAAAAGCATGTACGCCACTGACTTTGTTTTCTTGTTAGCAAAATAGTGTAAGCAGTTTAATGTCAATTAAAAGTTGTCTCGATTTCGGCTTCCTTGATGAGATAAACGCAATTTTATTAATTTGCCTTCATTCAAGTCTATAGCATTTACCTTTAAAAAAATTTAATATCATTAACTTGCGAAATTTTTAAATAAGTACTCGTTGGTTCTTCATCAAAAAATTCATCTCAAAATTTCATTCGAATCACTAAAACTACTTGGAAGAAAATTATAATAAACCGAAAGATTATTAAGGCTTTAACATGTAGCTACGAAACAAAGCAGAATCGGACCTATGTTGATATGGAAAATAAATCTTATTTTTACGTGAGGAATCTCCCCACGAGAGATGGCACATGTTTTTGAAACACCCTGCATAAGTGTGCTAACAGCTGAGAGCTCAAACGCACTGACGACCAGGTCGCAGCGACCAGCAAATGGCCAAGTCGCTGCGACCACAGATATATTGCGTACATAGGTGCGTCCAGATGAACGACCAGTTTCAGCAGGGCTGTCAGATCTAACGATTTTTTACGTTTTACCAATTAGAAAATAGATACTAGTTTCGTTCCAACCACGGAGAGAACCGTACTCGGTACGGTAACGCTTCTGCGCAGAGGAGAAAAAGCGTTCCAACCACGAGCGAATCGTTTAGTGAACGATAACTTTTGCGTTCCAACAAGAGTTGTCACCGTTAGTGAATCGATTCCGGTACCGTAATTTCGATACCAGCCTGAAAGCAAGAATCAGAGGGACTGACCTGTGCATTAAGAGTGTGTCAGCAGATTATTGATTTCTTCTGGACTTTAAATTCCTTTAGCCATTTCCAGAGAGAAACTAATAACTATAGTGAGAGGGCTTGTGGAATATGGAATTTCGTAGACAAGTTTATTTTGTCACCGCGCATCCCAGACGCGCATAACGTTTAGGCAGTCAAAAAAGGAAGTTTTCAACTTTGCAAGTTAAACATTTGACACGATTAATTAGATTGTCAGTAGCTTTTTCTATTTCTTAGTTCTAGAAGGAGATAACTAAAATATGTTGATAATCGGAGCAAATCGGAGTAATACATTGTTTTTGATTGAATGTGCCTGTTCTTTTAGCTTGTCAGAAGAGAAGATTATTGTCATTATTGATTATTTCAGATTCTACGATTATTCGGCATTTTTGTTATTTTTGTTTTGTGGTTGAGACCCAGACAAAATGTTTCTTGTAAGGGTAAGTTTTATCTCGGTAATTATTTTAACATACCTAATAGTAATAGTGAGTGCACATAATAATCGTACATTGCTAATTTAATTTTTTTAATTTAAAACATCACATTCTTTTCTGATACCTATGGAACGACTAGGTATCATACCTGGTATTATTTCCAGTAATACAAATTATTTTCTTCAACTGCTAGGTTCTTGTTATAGAATAAAGACTATCAAAAACATCGAATACCTACGGGATACCTACTGATACTCTGTGCGAGCTCCCAACCGTGCTTCCCTGTTCACTCACAACCAAGTTAGATAAAAAAGATACTGAAGATTGCAGCCTTGAGTTGGGAGTATAGCAAGGAGTATGGAGTTAAATAAATTATTATTTTCCTACACAGTATTTTATTTATAGGTTTTAATGCTTTAAAGTCTAATAATAAATTTTCGTTGTCAACAAAATAATCTAAAAAAACTACGAAGATTTCTTATTATAAATTTGAAAGATTAAGATTCGGTTCAAATATACAAATTTTAAATTTTTGGCGCCAGTATATAGGTATGAATGCAACCTACTATATCGATAATGCGCTCATAGTTCGGGTTAGACGCCAAAGGCCGCGCCACTACCACAGTCTTCAAAAATTAATGTTGATCGGTCTCTCTCACTTTAGTTATTAGCTTGTTATTAGTGTTCTCTCTGGCCATTTCTCTTTTTAATTTTGACAGTTTATTTATCTGTTGTTTTGACGACGTTTTGAAGCTTAAAGTTTTATTTGATGTTTATCGTGCATTTATTTTAAATATTTCTCTATTTTTAAACTATGATGACGAGTGACGAAGGGGACAGTGATATCGAGTCTTTGTTGGATACCAGCGAAAATGATTTGAACGAATGATTCAAACTTACAAATATAAATAAATCTCCCTCCCAATTTATTGTCTTATAGTGTGTAGTTCAAGCACGTAAATACCGTACGATCGAGAAAAAACGGCGTCCAGTTGGCTTGGAAATGATCAATGCCATTCTCCATATAATTTTACATACAGGGTGGCCCATCGAAAACGTTCCGCAAGACATAACGGCCAGGATATTTTTTTTTTCAAAAAATCCAAAAACGCGTCAATTTTGTTTGTGAGGGGGACAACTTTTGCCCCAAAAATGATTGCAAAATCTTCAACCCTCTATGCGGGGGTGTTATCCCCCACCTTTTTTTAAATGGGAAGGGGGGTCAAGTGGCGCCGCAATGAAAAGAGCTTTCTATTCTCTATATTTCCCCGCTTCGTTTTTGAAAATCGGTCGAGTCATTGAGAAAATATGAAGGATTGAAATTTGAAAGGTTTATTTAAACATTTATCACATTAAATGATAAGGATAAATTGCTTCGACCAATTTGTTGTTTTTTCTTATTATTTCTAGATGTTTACGCATTTTTTCACTTGCCACAAGGTTGAACGATCAGGTGCGGTCTCAATATCGTTAAACTGACCTAAAATAGAATTTCCAAAAATACCAGCCCGCGACGATCAAAATCGTCTTCGTTGAGTTCTTTGTACGGGTGGAGCTTGTGTTTTTTTAATATCGTTTGGACACTTGTACGATTCACGCCGGTCGCGGTCTCATTGGCTAATTTTCTTGTACTCAGCGTACTATCCATGGCAACTTGGCCCAATACGAATACCTCCATAGCTTCATTTACTACAGGATTTTCCCTCTGCCTCTTTTTATTCATAACGGATCCAGTTTCGTGAAATTTTGCTACTAAATCGCGAACAATTTTGCCATAAAGGTGTTTGTCAGGATGGCGTTCATTGAATATCTGCGCAAACCGATTGCCACATTCATTATTTTTCAAAATAAAGTTCGATTATATCCACTTTTTCTGCAAGTGAGTACACCATAATTGTTAAAAAGTTTAACGATATTGAGAAGAACTTCAACGCACAAGTCACAGAACAGCTATCTAGCAACTACCGCACCTGATCGTTCAACCTTGTAGCAAGTGAAAAAATGCGAAAACATCTAGAAATAATAAGAAAAAACAGCAAATTGGTCGAAGGAATTTATCCTTATTATTTACTGTGATAAATGTTTAAATAAACTTTTCAAATTTCAATCCTTCATATTTTCTCAATGACTCGACCGATTTTCAAAAACGAAGCGGGGAAATATAGAGAATAGAAAGCTCTTTTCATTGCGGTGCCACTTGACCCCCTTCCCATTTGAAAAAAGTTGGGGGATGACACCCCCGCTTAGAGGGTTGAAGATTTTGCAATCATTTTTGGGGTAAAAGTTGTCCCCCTCACAAACAAAATTGACGTGTTTTTGGATTTTCTGAAAAAAAAAATTACCCTGGCCGTTATGCCTTGCGGAACGTTTTCGATGGGCCACCCTGTATAAAAATTGACAGCGATCTTCATATCATAGCCATGGCTAAGGTCATTTTTATTCGATCATACAATATATTACTCATTTTGAATCCCTTAGATAATAAAAATCGTATAAAAAATCTATCTAACCCTTAGATCTAACCTTTGGATCTAACCAATAACAATAACAAAAAATAAGGTTATGAATTGGATTTCAGCGTAAGGCGCCACAGCGGCCCAGGGCGAATTCTAAAATCGATTCCCAAGCCATTGCAACTGCATTTAATTTTAACAGAACTGTCCAAGCCGACACATGCGCACAAATTCGATCCCGGCGATATCAATAACCGTTCTATTAGGACGGTCCTAATTTCTGCGTTGGAACAAAGCTACTGTTTTCAGAAATGTTAAAATATCCGAGTTAACTAAAAAGCAAAGTTCCTATTTATGAGCTTATTAAATGTTTTAATATTAAAAAATGCATTTAAAATATTAATGGTAATTGAATCGGTCATTTGGGAAAGGGGTCAACTCCAAAATTTTCAAAATCCCGTTTTTATCGGCTTTCGAATGTAACGCTCTAGACTCATGTTCTGTGTGAAAACGAGCCATCTCTTGATATAGTATCCTAATAATATTAGGTAGTGTATAATACAGTCATTATGAAAACGGGGCATCACTGGGAGATGTCCCATTTTCATAATGAACGATTTGTTGTCTTTATAAACTTAGTTATCTATCAACGCACGTATCTGACATTGTTGAAGAGCTATATCTTTTTTGTGATCGATGCCCTGGCCAAAACAGGAATAATACTGTAATACGGTTTTTACATGCTCTTGTTATTACAGGAAGATTTAGAAAAGTATCAATCTATTTTTCCCAACGTGGCCATTCGTTCAATGCGACAGAGATTTTGCTACGGTGAAAAGAAAAATTCGGCGCTCTATAGTCCCCAAGAATATGAAGACCTAACCGTTCAATAAAAACAAATTCGAAGTTAAACATGTCACTCATCAAGAAATAGCTGCTTTCAAAACCTGGTGGCCTATGTATTTAAAAAAAAGTTCTTTCTTTGCGTAGCATTGGCAAGGGGATTCCCAAAGAAAATAAGGCGAGTTTTGCAGTTAATCAGTATTATGAGTTTACTTTTGATTGTAAAGGACCCAGCGTTGTAATCGCAAAACCGTACATCGATAACGTGTTGGAGGAACGTTTTCTTCTTGCAAAGACTATGCAGAATTATATTCCCCCTCTGGTCATTCCTAACTGTCAAAACAACCCAGCGTATCAAGGAAAAATACCTATCAATGAGAAAAAAATGAATGACCTGAAAAAGCTTCTTTAATATATCCCAGAAAACTTTAAAGCATTTTACGATGAGATCTGTGAACTCGGCCTACTACGAATGCAGATGAGCCACCAGAGGAAGGATATTAATGTGTTTCCGAAGGATTTTTTCGTTCAGTGTTTGTTGTAGTTTAAGTTTTTGTATTATTAACAAAGCAATAATATTTTTGTTAAAATATGTCAGTTTTGTTTGGTTTTTGGAGTTTTTTCGTTGGTTCATTTTGAAAACGGGTCATCTCAAAACTAAAAAGGATACATTTCAAACACCCTGTATATCACAAAGTGAAATTTTTAGGTTAATCGAGTAACTTTTACCCCCTATTATCATAAAAGAAATTTAAAACAACATTTTTCTGAAAAATACTTATTTGAGACGTTTTTTGTCTCTCCTGTAAAATTTGAAAAAGTGGACATGCCACCTTTCCCAAATGACCGATTCAATTACAGTGGGGTAATTAGTATAGTTTTTAGTAAAAACTAGTTTTTACACATTTTAACATTTTTGAAGCACAGCATCGAAACTCGAAGGTATAATAACAGGTATCATACCAACGATAAATAGAGTAGGTATGTCATATAAAAAATAGTTACTTTTTTGGGACACTGGAAAAAAATCAAGGAATCAAAAATAACAAGGAAATTAAAAACTTAGTTGTAGTTTTCAAGAACATTTTTTTTTAAATTTTAGTTTGATAAGGAAAGAAAATAAAATGATTTTGTACTGTATTTTTAGAGTCACTCTGTGGTGTGTTTTTGCAAACTGAGGATCCACCAGTAGTAGTTCGCAAGCATGAAAGTATTGCGGTTTCCCTGATACCGTTCTTCGTTGTCAATATATCTTGACGACAGACACATCAATTGTCATCTATTCGATTGCATTAATTTTTTGTACGGAATTTAGAAATAAACCACGTTCGTTCTTGAGGTATAGTAGTATTAATACCATACGATCGAAAAAAAGACAGCTGGGGAATGACAATCGATGATAATCTTGGCGAGATCAAGCCCTAGACGATACATGGCCCTGATTCTTCTTTATTAAGAAAGTTAGGCTTTAGGTAAGTTGTAATTTATTTTTATATTGAGTAAAAATAAGTTTTAAATAGTGTAGTTCAAATTCGATAACAAATACTTTTTTGGAAATAGATTTGTGTGTCTGGAATCGTTCATCAATATTGTCTATAATTAGTGTTAATTTTTGACAAGTTTTATGTCAATTCTTAGTAAACGACGGCAACGTCTAGAGATTGACTCGGCAAAATTATCATCGATTGTCATTCTCCAGCCCTCTTGACGCCGTTTTTTTCTTGATCATACGGTATAATGGGGCACACTATATTCTCTCTTCTCGTCCGTTAACTCTCGAAAGAGTATGGTGATATCATGTCTCAATTTAAGTATAGAAGCCTCTTGCAAGCAGTAAGAAATAATATTTTTGGTTTGGTCCACCCAGCGCGTTGGAGATCTTCCTCTTGGTCGTTTGCCATTAATCTTCCCTTCGATTATGATTTTTTCCAGTCCATCTGTTCTTCTCGAAATGTGCCCGAAGTACCTAAGGTATGACTGGTTTATTTTAGTTGAAAATTTTGTGTTAACTTTCAACTGCCTTAGAATTGATACGTTGGTCCGATGTTCTGTGTATGAAATTCGCAGCATTCTTCTGTATGCCTACATTTCGAAAACATCTATTTTTCCTCTGTTTGTAGTTTTCAGAGTGAGAAAAAACGGATTTTTTTGAAAACAAATTTTATTTTTTCCTGTCGTTACATTTTAGAAAATCAAAAAACTAATTGCACATTCTCATAGCCACTTTATTAGGGCTATCTGATAGTATTTTTTGATTTTCAAATACGCTGATAATTTGTAAGATACAGAGGCCAACTTAATTTTTTTAAATACGGACCTGCATTTTTTATTTTAGATTTTGAAAGAACTCAGTCTCCTGAGTACAATGATATGCCACACTTTATACTTTTTTTTTGTTTTAGGTACCTTAACAGCAACAAAACTTTTTAATTATTATTTAAAAAATAAAATTCAAAAGTCCGACTCTGTTTTTTAAATTATTTAATCTGATTATATTCATCGCAACAATATTGATCAGTGCTAATTAACATTGAATAAGTAAAATTGAGCCAATTGAAAGATTCAAATAAATAATATCCAGATCAGCGATTTTAAGATATTATTTTTAACTTTTCTTATTGTGAATTTGAAATTCTCAGTGTACGATCTAATAATTTGCATAATATTAATCGTAGTTATTATGAATAAATTAACTTCTACAAACTAGTTCCTAATGCTTTACATAGTCTACATGCTCGAAAGGGTTACCACCCTCCCTATTGCACAAATTTATTTTTCGTTCAATTTTATTTATAGCTTTTGAATAGATCTTCTTATACCTTCGAATGCATTTTGTACTCTTTATTGTAACTCCCGAGATGTGTTGATTTCACTTTTTTGTAAAATTTGGACCTGTCGAATTACTTGACGTCATCAGACTGTTCAGGTTTCTCGCTGGCCATTATACTGCTCTACCATTTCCAATCCATCTTCCGGGGTAATTATTTGATTGTTTATATTACATTTTATTTATATTATTTTATATTAATTTATTGCATTTGATTTTTCGTATTCAACCCACGTCACTGTTAAGTTTGAAAGCTTATCAATATTGTAACGATGAATAGATTAAATATTAAAAAAACAAAGCCGGACTTGAAATCAGTTTAAATAAATTGTGTCCAAATTTCCGAAACAAAAAAAAATTAAATGTGGTATATCATTATACTCAGGAGAGCGAGCTCTTTCAAAATCTGAAATAAAAAATGCAGGTCCGTATTTAAAAAAATTAAGTTGGCCTCTGTATCTCACAAATTATCAGCTGATTTGAAAATCTAAAAATACTATCAGATAGCCCTAATAAAGTGGCTATGAGAATGTGAAATTAGGTTTTTGATTTTCTAAAAAGTATCGACAGGAAAAAATAAAATTGATTTTCAAAAATATCCGTTTTTTCCAAAAAACTCAGCAATCCTTGAAGTTTTTAAAACTTTTTTGATGGCATCTTGTTGAACATCCCAAAGCGGCAACTTTGCCCCAATTTAACCATGTTCGTATCTATTACTTTTACCGAGTTACCAATGCTCGTACCTCGAATTTGTAGCACCCTGTATATGTCTGACCCTTTATATCTATATTAAATTCCGGTTCATTAACGCCGTTCTAATTTTATTTAAAATATGTAGATTATGACATTAGGGTGTGTTTGGAATGGGAATTATATAGCAAATCCACTCAGAAAAAGAAATAAAAGAATATACAAAATACCATTTAACTATGAAATTATATTATTTAAAAGGTGTGCATATCTGAAATAGGAAATCTGATAAGGTGCTTTCTCGGAAATTTGGATCTTCTTGTATAAGAAATAAAACAGAGGAAATAATATGTTTAAATTTAGTACCTGACTAGGTAAGAGATGGGCGTTTCGTTGTAATAACTTCTTGTATCTCTCTTTTAACGTTTTTAATATTTCTCTAATGCTTTGTTTATGTTCATTGGCCAATTTTTGGATTTTGTCGTTCTCAGCTTTTATTTTCGTTTCCTCCAAACTTAATTTTTGATCCGATTTAGTATCTAAAATTATCTACAGTAAATTTGAAGATAGTAGATACATTGGACAATAATAGTTTAAATACAGTTTATTTTTATTTTATTTTATATGTGGCACTAAAATCTGTTTTCACAATACAATTTTCATTAATTTTTTTAACTTTTTATTTTTTTTCTCTTTGTATGTTTTTAATTCTATTTTCTTTTTATCAATGTTGCATGCCGTTGCAAGATATCTGTACAATTAGACCCTGTTGTGTAGTTATGTCGGAACTAATAAATATATATATATATATTTTTTATATACCGGGTGCGTATTAAAAGTGGCTCACCACTCTAACTTTTCTTATTTTCTTATTTTTTCAGATAAAAAAAACGAGATTTGGTATACTAGTATACGACATTGATTAGGATTAATTGACATATTCTATTGTTTTTGGTCACTTCCTGTTTCACTGGAAATGACTACAACTTTTGATTTTTAAATTGCGCTCTCGGTATATTTCTACTTTATTCGATAGAAAATGACACTCTGAGTAGAATGACATATGATAATGTCATTCTACTCAGACTATTTTACTGCCAAGACAATCCTAGCAGGGCCATTCAAACATAGAACAGATGAACTCCTAAAGGCTGGCAGGAATAGACCTGTTCGGTGTTGAGATTTGAACACCGGTGTTAGGTGTTGATGACCACCGGTGTTTCAGTCGGTGTACCTCAACACCGGTGTTTATCTCAACACCGGTGTTCATTTCAACACCGGTATTTATCTCGACACCGGTGTTCATCTACAACGCCGGTGTTTATCTTGACACCGGTGTTTATCTCAACACCGGTGTTTACCTCGACACCGGTGTTTATCTCAACACCGGTATCGCGATGAACGATCGTCGACGTGTTTTTTAATGTAATATTTTTTAGTTTATTTTACAGGTACGAATTTTTGTTTATGTTTTATTTTGTTTTCTATTTGTTTTTGATTAAACAATTTTTTACTTTATAGGTAGTTGTTTATCTGACGCTTCTATTTTAGTGATTAGTCTGACAGAAAAAATATATTTAAATTTGAAAGCTTTAATTTAAAGTCGATGTGCTTTAATAAACTATAAAAATAAGCACCGACAAGACATTATTATTATCAGGTTTATTTTGAACTTATTAATTATCATTATTTCTTCTTTAACCCATTTACAAAACACCGGTGTCAATATCAAAACCGGTATCGAGATGAACACCGGTGTCCAGACCAACACCGGTGTCGAGATGAAAACCGGTGTTGTAGATGAACACCGGTATGGAAATGAACACCGGTATGGAAATGAACACCGGTGTCGGTGTCAACAACGGTGTCGGTGTCAACACCGGTGCCGGTGCCAACACCGGTGTCGGTGTCGACACCGGAACGGTATGGAAATGAACACCGGTGTCGGTGTCAACAACGGTGTCGGTGTCAACACCGGTGCCGGTGCCGACACCGGTGTCGGTGTCGACATCGGAACACCGGATAGTCTATAATTGGCCACCGGTGTCAGCCCAACACCGGTGTTAAAACGGTGTTTCGGTATTTGGAACAGGTCTAGGTAGGAACGGAGCGCGTACGCTTACTGCAGTATACACGGGCCACGGCCGGCTGAGATCACACCTACAGAGGATGGGACTGGTGGAAGACGCCGAATGCCGACTCTGTAAGGAAGATGACGAAACAATGAAGCGCGTTATGTGTACCTGCCCCGCTGGGGGCAGGACCAGGTTTGAGGTGTTTGGCAAACCCACGCTAGACCTATCAGACCTACAGAAGACATATCGCCCTCGGACATAACTGCCTATGTTAAAAGGCTGGGTCTTGAGGGTGAACTTTGATGCTCTTTTTCTATTAAAGAGCTTGCAGAAATTTAGCAACAATAGGCCCTCGCGGCGTATTGGAGGGTCCCACCTGGGACCCACTCGAAGTCAAATACAATACAATACAGACTATTTTAACATTTTCTCATATGATTTATTTGAAATTATTGTAACATGCGGTTCATAACGACAATCGAGATATGATTAAAAATGCGATTTGGGCATCTTTTTGCAAAAAAACCTTAGACGATCAAATCTATTTTGCCAAGGCTCCTTGATTAAAAATTATGGCACAGCCATGGCACTCCAGATTGAAATTTATAATACGATTTTTAAGCGAAAATGTCAAGAGTTGACATATGATATGTCATTATACTCAGAGTGTCAGTTTCTGTCGAATAAAGTAGAAATATACCGAGGGTACCATTTAAAAATCAAAAGTTGTAGTAATTTCCGATGAAACATGAAGTGACAAAAAACAATTGAATACGTTAATCAATCCTAATTTATCATCTATTAACATACCAAATATCGTCTTTTTATCTGAAAAAATAACACTTTCGAGACGCATCCGGTATATCTTATATATTCCTATACCCGGTATCATCTATTTCTATAATTATACATGCAAATAAAATTAAAAATTACAAAAGTAACATCGCATAACTTACTTTTGTAACGCTAGCTTAGCAATAAAGCTTCTTTAATTTGTTTCAAATTATTTAGAGATTTTTTATTTACACATAAAGTTTTTTTAGAGGGTTTTCAAAATACCTACTTAATTAAGACAAAGTGATCACTAAAAATATTTTTTTGTTAGTGTCCAGTTGACAGTTTTTATATTTGTTTTATTCTATTTGGTGATGTGTGTGTATGTAATTTTGGAGATTCTGATGAAAAGCAAAAATATTAATTTAACAACTGAAATAAATGAGTAATATTGTACCGTATGATAGCAAAAATCTGTGTCAAGTATTACCTTGAAAATGAATATCGATGAAATTTTATATGTATAGTTTTAAAAATGAACAATTAAATTATTGGGCAAACCTACAGTAAGATTAGCCATGACACATGACTAAAATACGACTACCCGTAGACACTCAGTGCTTCTGCCTTCGGGCTTCATCAATACGGGAGGAATCAGCAACGATGAACTAGTGATCCTGAAAAAAAGAAAAAGGGGAAGCCAACGAAGCACGAGGCACCATTTGCAACTTGGTTTAGCAGTTTATAGTCCCCACGATAACATCTTTTGTTTATTGTTTTCTCTGGGCCAAGGTGATAGCGGCGAGGTATGTTGGAGTACCTCCGCAGCGGTTTTTCTGTAGTAACGCTCACGAATTGTGAGCTACTGCTAAACCAAGTTGCAAATGGTGCCTCGTGCTTCGTTTGCTTCCCCTGTTCCTTTTTTTCAGGATCACTAGTTCATCGTTGCTGATTCCTCCCGTATGGCAGCCGGAAGGCAGAAACACTGAGTATCTATACGGGTAGTCGTATTTTAGTCATGTGTCATGGCTAATCTTACTGTAGGTTTGCCCAATAATTTAATTCTTCTTTTTTATTATAGTCCCCACGATAACATCTTTTGTTTATTGTATAGTTTTATATAGGGCGAATATTCAACAGACCATCGTTGAAAGTTAACGTAATTTTTTTCGATCATACTGTACCTATATACAAGATGGTCCAAACTGTATTCCGGAAATTTCGGCAGCATATTCTGCAGATAAAAATAAGTAAAAAAGTTCGTATAAATGTAGGACCTAAAACGCTTAGTTTCGGAGGTACAGGGTGTAAAAGTTGTATTTTTATTTCGATTTTTTTCAAATATTTTCTGAAGTAACGTCAATATTAGGATGAAAATTGATATCTGGGAGTTTTTTGACATGAGAAATTTGCTTTTGATGTCAATATGACTTTTACTTTTAGAGGGCGCCACCTTCATATTTTTTTAACCGGTTTGAGAACTAATAACTTTTCGTCCGTACCTGTATAAAACTACTAGTAAAAAATATATATTTGCGACATTTTTTATGTAAAAAAGGTCTCTTGGTAAAAATCGTTTACGAGTAATTGTTGTCGAGAAATTTGGAATTTATTTTTTGACTATACAGGGTGTACCAGAAACAAGTGCAAATATTTTAAGGGGTGGCAGATCTCGATAAAAGGAATATATTTTCTTTTTATCGTTTAAGTCCAAAATAACGGAGTTATTTTACATTAAAAATTTCCAAAAAAAATGATTTTTTGCTAAAATTTTGAGAACCACCAATTTTTTTCTGGATTTTCTTTCTTGTAAATTTAATCTAATACCTATGTTGCCATATTATCAAGAAATTATATTTTTGAATTAAAAACTAAAAAAATTTCCAAAAAATTTTTCAAAAAATTTCGATTTTTCAAAATTATTTTTTCGCGAAAAAACCTCATAGGCGTGTTTCTGGGGTTGAACTATACTACCAGTTAAAATATTTGCACTTATTTTTGGGACACCTTGTATAGTTATTAAAGTGAAATCATAAATTTCAAATGTTTTTGTGTCAAAAGTTCAACAGAAACTGTTGTATCATCATTTTTTTGAAGAAAAATTTATGATTAATTTAAAACAAAATAAAAAGTTTGCAAATTTATCATTTCAAGCAAATAACTATCTCAACGACATGTTTATTTTTTGTCAGTATTGACATGTATTGACATGTATTGACTATTTTCATTCTAAATATCTTGAGAGCGGTTCCTCGTAGCGATTTTTACCAAGAGGCTTTTGTACATAAAAAACGTCGCAAATGTAATTTTTTACTAAGTAGTTTTATACAGGTACGGACGAAAAGTTAATACTCTTCAAACCACTTAAAAATATGTGGGTGGCGTCCTCTACCAGTGGGAGTCATATTGACATCAAAATCAAATTTCTCATGTTAAAAAACTCCCTGATACCAATTTTCATCCAAATATTGACATCACTTCAGAAGTTAATTGTAAAATATCTAAATAAAAATGAAACTTTTACAACCTGTATCTCCGAAACTAAACATTTTAGAACATACATTTATACAAACTTTTTTACTTATTTTTATCAGCAGAATATGCTGCCAAAGTTTCCGGAATACAGTTCGGACCACCCTGTATACAAGGCGTTGTAATTTATTTGATATTAGAAATGCATATATGCAAATAAAAATACTGTTAGCCTAAATTTTGAAAACAGTGAAAAGGTATTAGTTGATCTAGAAGAGTTTTTTGATTCATGAATATATTTACCATCGACTTTAGCACATGTATGTTCTGCCCTGTATCTTCTGTGTCGCTGAGAAGGGTACGTGTAATCTTTTGGCTGAAATTTATAAGAAAATAGGTTTCCATCATAGCCACAACTAAAAAGGTATTTTTCATCGTAGCTGAAACATAATTTCGGTATGAAGCCGTTTTGATTATCATGCATTGATAACTGCAATTAAGTTAATTATGTTAGTATTTTAACTATCTTGATATATTGTAGGATTACTTTGAAATAATCAGATAGATCCGTGTAGTCTTCAGTGGATGTTTTGTTAATTCTGATTGATCCATCCTGCATTGCAAATATAAGGTAGTCTTTTTGATGTCTATAAAATAAAAAAATGTATATGTCGTAGGCATAATGTAATTTTAGACAAATATTCATTTGCCAAGGCATTTGCTAAGTGCCTTGAAAAATAGCAAAATGATTAAAAAACATTTATATTTTACTATCTGCCTAGATCTGCATCAGCCATTTGACAAATGACTGGCAATGGCCCGGATTACATTCGGGCATTTAAAACGTAATAATAATTATAAACCTATTAATTATATAATAACCTTTTTGCGCACTTATGAAAAGATGTAAGATACGTAAAACTAGTAATTTTTTGTACGTACGTATAAAGATATGTACTTATTTCCATCTCTTCAGCGCCATCAATAAGACGAAATCTAAGAGGCACTAATTCTTTCTGGTTAATGCGATATTCATAAATATATCCGGCATCGTAACTGAAATCACAATAAAAGTAATAATTACTGATAATCTAAATTAGTTTACAAAGCCCAGCCAACTTTGGAAATACTAGAAATCAAAATACAATAGAACAAGTTGGATAAAATTTGTTTAAAGAACTTAATAGAAATTATAAACATTATTAGAATAATAAAATTAATAGTTATTTTTTATATAAGACGATAAAATGGTATTTTATCGTCGACCGAAAAGATTAATTCACGAGCGATGAAATCGCGAGTGAATTAAGGCGGGCGGCCGCTGCGAGCGAAACTAAACTAAGCCAAGCGAAGATACGATTTGTAAAAATCAGCTCCCACATTTTTAAATGCATCAGCGGCCACGAGCGAAACTAAACGAAAATATATGAACGAAGATTCAAATCGTAGTTTAGTTTTGCTCGTTTTAGTTCGTGACAGGTTCCAGCGAATTTTTCGCGGCGATTAATTCTATGACAGCAGAGATACAATATGAAAACACAGCTTACTTAGCTGGCTACTAAGCAAAAATAGTTCCCAGTGGCCCATGAAACTTATTTTCGTTTAGTTACCGTTTCTTTCTATATTCTTAGCTTAGTTTAGTTTCGCTCGCAGTGGCCGCCTGCCTTTAATTTCGGGAGATGATAATGCAATTTTATCGTCGTTTATAAAACAATATTTTTTTCCATAGCCAACGTTTTTTCCATTATTCAACGAGCATATAATGGTTATTCATGCGGATGAAGTTTCGCCTGCGGCTCGTGTCATAAATCATCCAAGTGAATAACAGCCATTATATGCGGGCAGTGGCGGATACAGAGGAGGGTCCATGGAGCCCGGGCCCCCCCTTAAATCTGTAAATTGGGTTGAATATTAAGCTTTTGGGTTAAAAATGGCGCCCTAAATAGCATATTCTACATTACTTTTTATTTGGGCCTCCCCTAAAATAAATTCCTGTATCCGCCCCTGTATGCGAGTAGAATACTATACTTTATCAGGACTATCAAAAAAAAATAGATAATATTAATATAAGTTAATATTTTTAATTCGCATTCCAAGCCGGTTTGGATCGAGCATAGCTTTTGTTTGGAGTTTGGATCGATATATCCGTGGAAGCGGTGAATAATGAAACCATTATTCACTAGTGAATAACGAATATTATTATTATTTCAAAAACTCATCTATAACAATCAAATTATTATAGACGAGTCGTGGATAAGAAATATTCAGAAATTATTATTTCAAGGAATTTATTACATGTAGAAAAAATATTGTACTGGGTTGGCGTTGCTTTCTATGTAATTTGACAAATAAATAAAGCTCTCTCTTTAGTTGTCCAATTTTTGAGTGTTTGAGTCAATATTTTTTAATTCTCTTTTGTGTCGATTGCTGATTGAATTGGAGCCAGAAATGGCTCAAAAAGAAATAAGTCAATTACCAACAGATATTTAGGCTAAGGCGACAAACGCCATATCCAAACTACTTCCATTTAAATCCCGAATAACTTATAAAAAGGAATACAAAAATTTTCAAAAATGGAAGCAATTAAAAAACGTGCGAGAAGAAAAATCAAGTGAAACATACTTTTAGCATATTTTTCTGAAAAATCAAAGAAAATACAGCCGTCTAGTTTATGGTCGTACTAAAAAGTACAATACTCGTCAATTAAAACATTGATATTTCAAGGTAAGGATAAGCTATAATCAAGAAAGTATATATAAAGTATACACTCTAAGGATTTATATACTCAGGGAATCTTGATGATCGACATTCTATTATAGTTGTTTCGCTTCTCGACACTAAAACCAAGAAAGACCGGTCGTTTTATATTACAGAAAAAAAAATCTGGGGACAGCGTTTTGGAAATTATACGAAAATATATTGTCCTACGCCCTAGTAATGTGACGCATAACAAATTCTTCATTAACTATCGACAAAAGAAATGCACTTTTCAATCTGTAGGAATTAACACCATTTATAAAATTTCCCAGAAGATAGCTCAGTTTTTAAAGTTACCAAATCCAGAAATGTATACTGGGCACTGTTTTCGACGTTCTGCCGCTTTGATGGTTGCAAATTCTAGAGCAGACTTGGTCACAGTAAAGCGGTTGGGTGGTTGGTAGTCTTCTTCGGTAGCAGAGACATACATTGAAGAATCTGTGTCCAAGAAGATTGCTGTATCAGAATGCATTCTTAATAGTGTGGAAGATCGAACCATTGAATCCAATACATCTGTATCTCTAACCAAACAAAAATATGATCCTTCGTTCCCGTTACATATTTCGGGTAATGTCAATTGCACCATAAAAATTTGCGTGAATAAAAATAGTAACCATGATTCTTTGTAATTCGAATATTTTCAATACAGGATTACAGAATAAAGTTTTCAACCTATACTCGCTGTTAAAGTATCATTTATCTACCCTTCCGGTTAAAGTACTATTTTATCTATTATTTTTGATAGATATAAGGGAATTTTAACAGTTGCTATGGAAAAAAAAAACAAAAGAATTGTGTGTGCACTACTTTGAATAAGAAGACTAAGGAAGGAGCATATCAAAAATCTTAGGTACACCTCGATGGGCCTCAAATATGGCCGACTTAAATTCCGGTTTATCAGTGTCGTTGTAATTTTATTTAAAAAATGTAAAACTATGATGTAGGGTAGACGTGGGGTAGACTCAATAATTTGTTGTTTTATTTTACGTTGTGAATAAATGTTGGTAGTTATTAAAATTGTTATAAAAATATATAATTCTAATAAAAATAGATAAGTTATAATAAGTATTTATTAACACAAACATCCGATACTACGTAAGCCGCAGGCTGTTCTTACCACTTTTCGTCTCGCGCTAGCGTGTGTGTTACGGCCTTAAATTTTTGCTCCCAGCGCGCGTAAAAAAGTTTCACTTCAAAAAGTATAAAAGTTTTGTAAACTAAATCTGTTCATATGTCAAATTAATTAAACAGTTTACCCTCCCATAGAAAGCCATATGTTTTTTTTATCTGTGTATTTTAACCAAATTATTCTGTTTGGCACTTCTGGAATAAAAAGCGGTTCCAACTCTTCTTCACTTTCAGAATCGGCTGAAACAAAACAATAATTAATTTTGCTTGCATATACTATAATAAATAAGGTACTGTAATTAATAAGCAGGGGTTGATGGGGAAGAGGAAACCGGCCCGGGAATAACAGGTAACCGGCCCAAATCCACAAAAACAAAATGACCATATATAGAAACATATTTTATTTATTAATATATAAGTAATGGAGTTTTTCGCTCGTGCGAAAAAAGCTCTTTTGCTATTCATTTTTTTCTGCTGCTAGTCATATTTATTAGTTATTAATAAAAGAATAGTGGTAAAACTATACAGGGTGAGTCTATATAAGTGCAAATATTTTCAGGGGTGGTATATTTCTACCCCAAGAACACGTCTATAAGATTTCTTTTGCAAAAAAAAATGTTAAAAATCGGGCATTTTCTTTGAAATTTTCCTGTATATTTTAAAAAACTTTTTAGAACTTCCTGTTCACCGCAAATTTTCCCATGGTATAGTTACTTAATCCCTGATATTACGGCACGAAAGAGATGCAAATACCGAAAAATTGAGGTGGCTTTTTTTAATTTTCAAACTTTAATAACTCGGTTGGACTTATTTAAAACACGGTAGAGAGAATGTATTATGTTTCTTTTATTGAGATCTACCAGTCCTGAAAATATTGGCACTTATAAAGTCACCTTGTATAATAAAAAAATTCAAACCGAACAAACAACAGATGTTTATTAAAATTATAAGTGTCTCAAAGAAAGATATCTTACAATAGTTATTTTACAAATTGGTGTTTATGTTTAAAAGCAACTGATGCAAATTGATTAGTTAGTTAGGTATGGAATCTCTAAGAATCTTACGTCACCTTAGTTAGAAGATTAACCATTTAAATTTTGCTAATCCAATCGTTTTTTGAGCTCTGACCGGGACCGGCCGGCCCACCGGCCCATTTTTCCACCGGCCCACCGGGAATTTTCCCGTTTTCCCATATGGCCCATCCACCCCTGTTAATAAGGTACTGAGATGATGGTATCTAATTGGATTCTAATCTATAGTGGCATTTTAGATTAGATTAGATTCTTCGTGGTGGCTATCGGCATGATCCACTTCGACCTTTTCAGATCTATTGTGGTCCTCTTTTGATTCTTAGGTTACATTCTCCAGTCCTATCGTTTTCAAAAAGTCTAACAACTTGGAGACTGAACCCTCCATGTAGCTCTTTGTCAATGGCCTATCATTGCCTATTATTCGCACGTTCACCAAGCTGTTGCACCAACATAAAATGTGTTCTCTCGTTTCTTCTGCATATTGACAGAACCTGCACATGGATTCGCCCCTCAATCCCATTTGCTGTCCTCCATTCACGCAGTTGTGCAGCTCTGAACTGTTCAAGAACGCGATACTCTCAATTCATTCAATTGAGTTATAAAGTTCAGAACTGTTCCGCGCCATATGAAGGCACCAGGCTATAGCGCACAGCTCCTTTCAGAACCTTTCTCGAGTAGCCCAGGGCGTAAAGCACTGGAACTTGAAGTTCGCGAATGGAGGACAGCAATTAGCATATTCAGCTTATCGTTGTTAGTCGTCTGTCAGCTATATGCCCGATTATGGTGGCCATTCACACACAGTTCGCCGGCAGTTCTAGGACTGTACGATCTGAACTGAAGATCTAAACTTTGTCAGGCCACTCACAATGCAGTTACGTCGAACGATGCGATGTTCAGTTTTGGGACTGTCAGTTTTTGAACTGAAGGAAAACTGTGCTTTCACCACACACACAAACATATCGTCAGTTTTCTCGATTGGCTCGATTTTTAAATTCATTGTTGCTAACCATGGACATATTCGGCGCCGTGCTGACTAACTGGAATTTAAATTTCGCACTGGGGATTGAGGTGGTAGTTCTGCTGTAATAAATGTCAAGTTGCCACATTTATTTATTTATTTCCTGACATTGTCATTCGTTTTGAGACTTAAGTTTTGTATTACGAGTTTTTGGTTTTAATAAATAGTGTTGTGATACTTTAAGCTTGAAAATGTTTACTAACAGACCTTGCAGTCGAACATTGTTCTTTTTAGAACCTCTTTTAGTGCGAAGTGTACAAGCTAGCTTAATAGCCGTAAAATAATCATCGCAACTGTATTAGAATATTTTGAACGGGAAAGCGGTAGTAATGGCCCTTTATGTCTATTAAGTGCTGTTAAGAAGGTGAGTTTTGTTGATGTAAATCTGTAGTCTAATAACTGTTAGTCTAATAACTGTTTATATATTTATAATTAATGTATTTTTGTTTCCTATTAATGTATTTTTGGTTCTGGTCCTATGATTACTACTAAACAAGGCCCATCCATTGATGAGCCTTGTTTGGTTATTTGATATGCCTTTTCTTTACTCTTGTGACCCTCATGTCCCTCATGTTCTACGCTTTCCGACGTTCTTGGGCCGTCTATATACCAGGTTGCGTCTGCTTGAATGGATACACCTTTTATCCATTTTCCTCTTCCTGGTATAGTTATGTTAAATTTGTTGTTAAAGCTGCTGTAAGTATTGCATCTAGCAGTAATCCTAATTCTTTGTCTCCTTTAGCTCTTCGATTATAGTTTCTGGTTTTCAGCACTATGCTATCTATCTGACTTATGTGCCGTGAATTAACTTATGCATGACGTTATGCGTTACGATTAACAAAACGTCCATCGCATTTGTGGGAGTGGTTTGGTTGTTGGAGGCAAGCAAGCCTATTTGTGACCTTATCGCGTCCATTTGCAATGCCTTTGTCCACCACACCACCGACCCGTAGATTATTATGGGTCTTAAAACCTTTGTGCGTAACATAAATCTGTCTTTGGTGCATAATAATTTTGTTCAACAACTTGTATTGACTTTGATATAAGTCTATTTAAGTCATCAAGCGTTTTCAGTAGGAGGGAGGACAGGCTTATCGGTTTATATATACTGCCATTATTCGCTGACGAGTATTCGACACGCATCAGAAGATGGTCACGCAAGGCGTTTTCTTTCATGAGCTTTTCTGTGACTGAAAAGCCCGATACGTGATATTATTTGCCTACCGCACTCCGGACATTCAAAAATCTCATTGCTTTGTTGCCTCTTTACTTTTTGGTTGTCGCTGTTAACTGAGTTTACAATTTTTCTCCATTGAGTTCTATTGTGAACTGCTTCTTCCCAATAATTCTGCATGTTAATCCCCTTTAAGTTTTCGTGGAAAATGTCCTTGTACCTTTTGAGTTGTCCACCCGGCCTCCTCTTACCGTCTACAAGCTCACCGTAAAGCAGAGATTTTGGTATGCGGTTTTCTTGCATTCTGCATACGTGACCAGCCCATCTTAAGCGGGATTTTGTAACCATGACTTCAATACTCTCGCAGTTAGCTTTTTCAAGATACGTTTGAGATATGATGGAACCACCGGATTCTTAAGAGTTGTCTAAGGTGTCTCTGTTGTAACTTGTTTAATGCCTTCATGTGTCGGCGGTACGGCACCCAGGTTTCGCTCCCATATAACATAATGGGGATTATAATTGCTCGGGACACTATCAGTTTCGTTTTTGTATTCAAGTCATGATTGTAGAAAACCCTGTCTTTAAATTTCCAGAATGCTCTTGAGGCGCTGCTAATCCGGCGCTGAATTTCAGAGTCTGATCTGATTTGCCTTTTCCGAAATCAAACTGCCCCGCCGAGGTAATTAAATTCCGCTACATATTCCAATATAATCGGAGAGGAACTCTCCGATTTTTACAGCATTGTTATGATCTTCCGGGGGAGTGCACATGATTTTGGTTTTGTCGATGTTTAGCTGAAGGCCCAAAGCCTCGTATACCCAGGTATATGTGTTCAACATTTCTTGTAATTGTTGTAACGTGTTTGCAACTAGCCTGTGATGAATTTTGTACGTATTTTTGTCCTCAGTTTTTTATGTTGAACAAACCGCCATCATATCTGTATCTAATACCCAATCCTCTCTCCTGCAGTTTGTTGTCCACTATAATGGAGAGCGCTGCCATGAATATGTTGAATAGGAGAGGCGGTAAGACACATCCCTGCCTAACTCCTCTATTAGTCAGGAAGGGATCGCTCAGTGATCCATGATCTGACACTCTTGACTAGTTGTTGTTATGGAGGCTTTTACACACTGTAAGAAATTTGTTGGGTACTCCAAACTTTTTCATAATTGCCCAAAGTGCCTCTCTGTTCACAGAGTCGAAGGCTTTTGTTAGATCGATGAATGCAACATAAAGTTTAGACTGCTGCTCTTTCACTTTTTCCTGTAGTTGGCGGATGGAAAATATGGAATCGACGGTGCCGCGGTTGGTACGAAAACCTGTTTGCGATTCTGGAAGGATTTTTTCTATATGTGGGTGAAGGCGATTTGACATAATTTTTGTAAGAATTTTTCCTTCGATAGCCAATAGTGAAATTCCCCGGTAATTTCCGCAGTCTGATGCACTTCCTTTGTTCTTAAATATATTCACTATATTCGCGTTGCAAAAATCCTGAGGTACCTCCCCGCTTTCCCATATGACATCGAAGAGAGCCTTAAGATGACCAATAAGTTCTTTACTTGCATACTTATAGATTTCCGCCGGGATCGCGTCACAGCCAGCTGATTTGTTGTTTTTAAGCTGTTTTATGGATGCCATTATTTCCTGTTCTGTTATTGGGGTATATAATACATCGAGGCTGTTATACTGAGGTATTGCGTTTAGTGCTTCCATATTGGGGTTGTTTTCTTGGTTAAGGATATGGCCAATCTCTTTCAAGCGGTTTCTAATTTGCTCTTCCTCTTTTAGAAGTTTGCCATTTTGTGCCATGATTGGGCAGCTTACCTTCTTGGTTGGGCCATATACTTCTTTTACAGCCTCAAAGAATTTACCATAATCGTGATGCGTGGCGTACTCTTGAATCTGATTAGCCTTTTGTGAACACCAATCATCCTTTAATTGGCGCAGATTTCTTCGAAGCGTGTTGTTGGCTGCTTTAAAGTTATCTACCAGCCTTGGATTGTGTGGATTTGCAGTG